TGCAGGGAGCTAGGCCAGCTCTCTGTCCAGAGCTGACTTACTGCCGGCAGATGCCGGGTCTGCCATAAAACTCGAGAGTGGCAGCTTTTTTTCCTCCCAGAGTGAGGCAGTACCATATCCCAGACAGAAATTTAGAGGGAGTTTTGCTCCTCTCTGCCTGTTGGCATTCCTCTTAGCAGGTGATGGTGCAGAGCCCTGGCACACTCATCACAGGGCTCCATTCTGGTGCTAACAGCTTCCCTCCATTCTGGGCAGCAGTTTCCCTCCCATGCAGCAGGATCCACCTCCCATGCTGTAAACATTCTGCATGAGACGGACAGCAAAACAACAAAGAAAGCATCAGAGACATGAAAGTGGGTGTTGTACAGCTGATGGATCCACATGGGCACTAATGGGCTCCAAAGGAGCATGACCCAGGTAGCTGCTAAACCTCAGTGATCTACTGCTCACATGCAAACTTCACTGGAAAAATAACTAGCTGTACCCACGAGAAAGAAAGCAATCTTGAACTCCAGTGGAAAACAACTAGAGAGATGGTCTAGATGGGAGATGGTCATCAGAAAGCAACCTTACCATGGGTACTGAAAATTACCAAGAATATGGGGTTTTTACTGGCCATTTTAAAGAAAGATAAGAAAGAAAATGTTTACACAGTAAACCTTTATGCTTCAGAGGAGGAGGGATCCCAGACTTTTTAAAGAACACTGACCTAAGGCCAAAGTCATAGCAAAAATGTTGGTTTGGTCCTGATGGTCTAAGGGTGTGAGCACCAAGGTTCATAGGGAGAGATATTAATCTTTTATTAAACCAACCAACACAACTGAAAATAATAATAAAAAAAAAGAACTCAGAGAGGCTTTGTGTACCTAAAATTCATTCTTTTTCCCCCTTCCAACAATATCATGTGTTCTATTAAAAGATATTACTTCTTCCTGAAAACCTTGTCTGTCCCAAATCCAAACAATGTTCCAGAGTAGTGAGGACAGAGAAACAGGGAGCATTTTTGTTATTATGTTTATCTATCTCTGTGTTGCTAGAAATACAAAAACACTTTCAGAGCCCTTTGCAAGTCCTTCATGTGTCTTTTTTTGACAAGCAGGTGTTCTCTGTGTGATGAACTGTGACCACAAGAACACTCAGCATAAACCTCTGGGAAAGGATGGAACTAAATCCCCAAGAGGTTTCCAGCCCACCCCAGGATTTGGGGCAGGATGCCAGAAGGGCAGAATAGAGGAAATATGGACAGAGGAATGTCTTAATGATGTTTAATGCCTACATAGATCCCTCCTCTATCTGACATGCATCTTCACTGATGATGTCCTACCCATGTTAGGACATTACCTTGGGAGTTCTTAAGGAGTCTTGATTACAATTTAAGACTGTGTTCTCTTCTAAAGATGAAGAAATGCTGCCCTTTTCCTGGACAGTGACCATGATTTTGTTTTGAAATTGAATTATGCATTTTGGGGGACAAATGAAAATTATTTGTATTTTACTGGAGTTTGGGTGGGTTCAGAGCCACAGAAGGGCTCTTGGAGCAACCAAACCCCTATCTGCAGGGTGAAAGAGAAGCTGGGAATTCTAATCTCAGCCCTGAAGATGCCTCCAGCTCTGACACTCCTCCCCCAGACACAACAAAAGCCCCCAGCTCCCTGGACAGCACCGGGCAGGCACAGTGTGCCTGACTTGCTGCAGTCTCCATACCACACTCAGCTTGGGTGAGGCACAGTGTCCCTGACCTGCAGCGTCCCACCACCTGCTGTCACAGTCCTGAGTCATACCTAAAAAAAGTCGCCTACTCACACAGTTTTTTAAAGAAAACAACAAGGAAAACGAAATCCGCCCAAATCTTTTCTCTGCAGTATGGATATTTTCCATCCTGCCTTCCCACAGAGACCCACACCAAAGATTGCACAGCACGTTACACAACACAGCACAGAAACGCTTCTTCAGCATCCCCGCCTTTTCTCTTCACACAGAAGCTGGGCTACTTCTCTCTGTCTCCCCAGTTCCTCCACTTTTCTCCGCTTTCTAATCAGATGCTGATCCACCTCTCTCCCCACCACTTCCACCTCCACAACCATCTTCTCTCCATCCTGTCTTGTTGAAAGGAGGTTTAAAGGAAACAGCTGACGGGATCCCTCTGTGATGCAGGAGGAAAAGGACGCATCTGTCTTCAGGCAGAACATGGAGAGCCTTGCAGAGAGGGGAAACGAGCCTCTCTGCTGCTTTTGTTACTCAAATATTTGTTTTCTGTATCCAAATGTGCAACAGAAAATTAAGCGGCTCACCTTTGTTAAAGCACTTTTGCATCCCACAAATGCTGGAGCCAGATGGTGTTCTTTCTTTGTCTTAAAAGATTAAAACATGGGAAAGAAAGAAAATGCCTAGGAACAAATTCTCAGCCTGGAACATGCTCATATATCCCACTTAAGATATCATATATCCACATGCCCAATTATCCAGGCATGTGGGGCCTGGGCAGGAGCAAACACAGGGACCGGGCAGACTGAAGTGAGTCTGCTTGCAGAGAGCTCCAGACCTGTCACTTTGTGTCAGCTTGGAGGTGGAATCTTTCCCCGTGTTTCCAGAAAATGACAAACTACAGTTTCTCCCCGGGCTGCAGCTCGGACACACCAAGCAATATTTTCTAGAAACCATATGAAGCAGAACTTTACTCCAGGTCCTACTGGTGGCAATGGCAGGCTGTGCACAAGGGGAGAGGTGCCATACACAAACACCAGGAAACAGACTTGGGAACTTCACCAGGAAGGTTGTAGATGTGACCAGGAGCAGCATCAAAGTCTTTAAAAGTTCAGATCTTCAGCCACATCTCCACCTTTCGTAGGTGAGACCCAGGAGCAGGTCAGTTCTCCAGCTTGAGCTTCTTCACTCATTTGCTGGGAGGAGTGTGGTTGGACTGTGGCTGGAGGAGGGATGAAGGACACTTGGCCTCTGCACTTCTGCTCTTTGCTGGCCTGGGTAGGCTTCCCAGCTCTGCCACTGACTCCTGCTTTGGCCTTCGGCCAGTCACATAAACCCTCTGCCCCTCATGCCACCAGTGTAAGTGTGGGCAATCGGAACATTGTTTTGCTAGGAACCTTCTTTGGACTTTAGGAGAGAAAAGGCCTCCATGAGTGAACATAGTGAGCAAGAGTTTTAAAAATACTAAAAATAAGTGAAAACAAAGAAAGGAAAATTAGTTAAGAACAAAAGGCTGGGCTGGGCTGAAACTCAGCTCTTATTCTGGTAAACAGGTGATAACTAGTTACTACTTTAGTCATACATGGCAATTTGTCTATGTAGAGAAAAGTCCACTAAAAAGACTTACAACACTGCATGAGATATCACGGAGCAGTCCTCAGCAAAGCACTTTGCACAGACAGGATGAGGTCTACAGGACACCACCATAGAGAAGACAAAAAATCCAACAATGACAAACTGTGGAAATCATCTCAGTTCTCACTTTTTGGGGGCCCTCCCAGCCTTCACATGTCAATAACAGCAAATTCTCCCACTGCACAGAGAGCTCTCGGTGCTGCAGGAACACCAGCTCAGCTGGGATTGTCCCCAGAAGTGTGACACTGGCTGTGGTTTGGGGCAGGACTAACAGGGCTGAAGGGAAGAAGGCAGGCAAGAACACGGGCAATCACATGTGCTGCTCCTCATCTTCCCCTGGGCTCTTCTCTTTCCTACTCGCTCCTTCCTGAAGTTTCAGCTGTGGTGGGACCACAGCACCTCTCTTTCCTCATCACTGCCCAGTAACTGCACTGACACCTTTTCCCAGCGCAGGCTTTTCTGCTGCACAGTGAAGATTGTTTCCCTCACTGGTAATTAAACTTAGTGGTAAGCCGACGTTCTGGCCTGGGAGAGGTGGTATGTCTCAGCGCAAATCTGATCACGTTTCTCGTCCTCCCAAACACAGTAACTCCACTTGGCAGCTGTCTATCACATAATGAAAACTTTCTGAATCAGATCAAGACCATAGGTCAACCCTTTCACGGGCAGCTGATAGAAATCATCCTCAAAGCCAAAGATCCACGTTGTAAGCAGAAATAAAACAGCCTTAGTCCAAGCATCACGCTGGAAACCACGGTTCCATAGCCTGAAAAGCCCTTCCCCGTTGGTGGATGGTCCAGAGACAAATATCTACTCCAGTGTGTTTCAAACATTTCACACATCACATCATCGCCTGTAGCTGGGGAAGGGTAAGAAACTCTGTTCCCTCAGGAAGGCCGCCATCCTGGGCAGGCAGGACAGTGCAGACAGGTACAAAGGGAGTGTGCAAGACAAGGGGACAGTGCGAGCACAGATCACACAAGAAGAGGCTGGAAAGGCATTCCTGGCTCATTGAGTCTGTCCCCAGAGACAAGTGCAGGATTAGCCTCTGCACTAAACCCAGGCATTTTTATCTAGTTGCTTCCTGAATTTCTTTAATGACAGGCTTTCAGCAACCTACCCTTGGCAAATTATTCTATTGTCTAAATGATGACCCTGCTGGGAAAAAAAGTGTTCTGAGGTCGAACCTAAATTGACTATTATTTCCTCTTCCATATTTTATGCACTTATCAGTCAGTCTTTCAGTTGCTTTTCCTCTACGTCCCTGTATTAAGTTTCTTTAATCTAACACCAGAGGTCACAGCCTGTAGTCTTTATCATCTCTTTGGATTACCTTTAATTTATCAATGTCTTCAAAAAAAAGGGAATAAAAATAGGCAGTAAGTATGGGATGACTTCAGAGCCATCCCAAAGCATGTGACTGTGTGCTATCACAAAGAGTCTATGTGTAGACATCTGTGTGGATGTCTGAACTACAAGCATGGCCAGGACTAAACAGGAGTAAGGACAGTGTTTAGGGATGCCTGATCAACATCTGTGCACATATTTCAATGAGGAAATAACGAAGCAAGTGAGCCCTAGGGCTCCAAAAACTGATTTACTGTAACATTTCCTAGTCTCCCTTTGCTCTGAGCATCAGACTGCTGCTGCAGCTGCCTTACCCTGTAGTAATCAGTGCTGTAGACATCTCTTGACATCCCAAAGTCTCCAATCTTCACCAGCAGGTTGGCTCCGACCAAGCAGTTCCTGGTGGCCAGGTCTCTATGGACAAAGTGCTGGGAGGCAAGGTACACCATTCCAGAGGCGATCTGGCTAGCGATGTGGAGCATCTGGGATAGCCCTAGCTCCCCTTTGGCTTGTCGAGGCTGCCCATCCACGAGGATCATAGCGTCTGGGCCATGTGCCCTAAAGGGAGGAAGAAGCAAAAAGCATAGAGTTGCGTCTCAGAAGTGACCAGGAGATGGGAATCCCACACGGTCGCTGTTCCTGCTGGAGTGGGGACTAGATCCCAGCTCTGCACTGGGAGGATGTGCACACAGCTCCAGTGGAAAGGAAGAATGAAAGCTTAAGAGAACAGGAACTTGTGGGAACATTTGGTGGGTGAGTGGGTGCCCTACATCCTTATCCTATCCTTTGTCTACTGCACACAACCTCTTGTGGCCACAGATGGAGACAGAATGCCAAAACAGTGGGACCACTGGCTTGATGCAACATGGACACTCTTCTCTGGCAAGACCTGCGCAGAACTAATGAGCCTCAGGATATTTACATGTTAATTCTCACAGCTTTGATAAGTTCCCAGAAGCAGAGATATCACCCACTTTTCTTCCACATCTGTCATATTCTTGCTACCTAATATCTTAAACAATCCCAAACAGCCTCCTTTTCTTTCCTTCATATCACCAACCAACCACCCCCCAATTGATATTCGTACATCCAGAGATCACACAAAATGTTTCAAAGGAACACCAGCAGCTTCATCCCTGGAAAATCCCTTTTATATCCTAAACTATCCCAAAGGTAACACAGGTACTGTGAACTGTGACAGCATGAGCACAGGTGCAAAGTTTAGCCCTGGCTGTCAGCAGATGCAGAGAACATCCTGTGCAACAAAAGGAAATATTTTGCTGAACCAGGTGCATTGTAAATGCAGGACTTTAGGTCAGTCTAATTCCTGTTCTGTCCTTTTTTTGTCTCCTTCCTCACTATGTACCAAGCCTTTCTGTGCCATACTCCCTCTGTGATGTCTCTTCCCCTGACAGAGCTCACCCCATGGTAACTTGTGTGAGGGTAGAATAACAAAAGCCCTTGTATTTAGGGAAATGCAAGAAATGTTGCTGTGGCCTTCCTTCTTGTAACTAAAACACAGTACAGCATTTCCTCTGAGGCTTTCATACTGTTCTCTTTGAAATTATTCTTGGCATTTTACCCCTGTCATCAGCAGTAACCCCACAGAGAGACAGCAAATTGAAACTGCACATTCAGAGCTTTCCCTCCTCCTTGACATGGGACTGAACAACACACCACAAGATCCAAACTGTTTCCCACCTTTATCTCTGTTTCTGAATTGTGTTGGGCTTGAGGGTGCACCAAAGAAATGAGCATCCAGATGTTTGGGGTTCAAGCATCAGTTTTTCAAATGCCCCCCTCTTCAGCTACCTTTCCTACCACTGGGAATATGGCTCTAAAGGTCCTCTCCTGGTAGAAAGGACAGCTGGAAGAGGAGAGAAACTGCAGAAACAACTGCTGAGAAGCCAGGAGTGTTTTTTGGGAGCCATGAGTGGGTGGTGCTGCTGAATGTGGGGTGAGTTGTCTGGGAGCAGCAGTGGGAGCAGCAGAGTAGGGGCTGCCAGAGGCATCTCGGAGTCCTGTGGGTATGGTGGGAGCAGCAGCATACAGGAAGACTTGCTGAAGGAGCTGCAGAAGAGTGCATGCAGAAATGACTGTTTGATGTCTTATTTAAATAGCCCTCAGACGTGTTTACCCCAGGAAACTACTTGGTGGTGACAACAAATGGTGACAGCAGGTGAAGCTGAGCCAGGACTGAGCTAAAAACAGCAAAGAAGAACAAATAATAGCTTCTAAAACTGTTCTGGACAGTTTGTGCCAGTCATGCCTTGCAGTTACATCATATTTAGCTACAGCTGATACCTGTTGTCATCAAAGGTAAACACTGCTAGGTGAGAAGTGAAGGATGTATTACTATCTCATTACTACCACTTTTTTAAAATACAATAATGGCCCCCAAAGAAGTGTCTGTGTCTGAGGGGAACATGTGGTGGTTAAAAAATGGTCAGCGAACACCTTTAATTCACTGGCTCTTTGTATAACCTACTACACAGGACACATCTCAGTATGTCCTCTCTACTACGTACATGTCCCTCCCTCCCTTTCTTTATCCCATATGGTTATAATCCAAAGGAAAGAAGAATCAACACATTTATGATATAAACAGGAAGGATATTAGCACATTTAGATGTGTCAAGAAGCCTACAGGGAATATGAGAAGGGTATGTCCATCTTTTCCTGGGGAAAGGAGTTTAATTCAGCTTTAGAGAGAGGCCATAAAATTGGGTGGATTTCCTGTTAAAGAACTACTGGAGGTTTTTTCCATTATGGAGTGGTGGAGGCTTTTGGGAAAAAAAATCACCCTTCTAACTTCCTCTTCTGAAATTCCTCTTCTGTCCCAAGACAGTCTGACTGTGGGGCTGCTTCACCAGAAGGGCTGACACAAAAACACCAGAAATTTACAACTTTTCTAACAAAACCCATTGCCTGTATGAGTGGCAACGACTTACTACAGACTGCAGAGAGGGTCTGTAATGGCAATGTGCATTTATCCCTACTTCAAAATTCCTTCTGTCCCAGACAGAAAACAAAAGCTAGAAAACCAGTGACAAAGGTTAAGGGAGGAAGTGATGGACACCCCTGGTGAGCAGAGAGGGATGTGGTCACTGCAGACCCCTGAGCAATGGGTGTGTGTGCTGGGAACACCCAGCCTTGCCACCCACCCACCCTGGCAGACTCCAGCCCCAGTGCACACCATCCCTAGGGATGCGGTGCTCCCTGGAGAGGAATGCCTGTATTTCTCCACGTCAAGATCATGTCTATTAATATTTTCTATGAGGTAGGACACCACAATTGCAGTCTCCCCTGGTGCAGACAGCATGGTTTGTTTTTGCACCCCCAGCAATAGTCTTACACACAGGGGCCCTGGGAGGTGTGCAGAACCATCCCAGTGCATGCCACCACTAACTCAGCAGGTAGGTGTTGATCCTAGTGCCTTCCTTTTCCACACCAGTTAATATTACAGACCAGTAAAACTCTCTGTTCTCTAGGAAGCACACAAAGATCTAAAAACACTTAGGGGAATTTATTTATTGTGCTTTTCTCTAGGAAACTGAGTCTAAAGTGAGCCTCTTCCATTTTACTGCTTTTTCGATTTCTGCAGTTAAACTGGGAAAAGTCCATCTGAGTGCCTGTTACAGACTCCCAGCATCCCCAGCCTCCAGTGTCTGGGAGTCACTGTCTCCTGCTGCGGGCTGGGTGAATCATCACACTATAAAAACTGCTGCTTGCTGAGGGATGCTAGGCAGCTCTGCATCATCAGCCCTTTCTTACCCCCTTGCAGTCCCCATTCCACAGTCTCCCATCAGCAGATACCTGACCTGACAAACAAACCCACAACTCTCTTTCCATATGTCTCCTTAGGCATTTTGAGTTTCTGTTTGCTGGGTATAAGCTCCCTTGCTCCCAAAGCCAGCTTCCTTTGGGACGCAGAGGGGTTTCACTGCCCACCACACACCAGCATGCAGAGAAGAGAACATGGAACTGTTTTTCCAAGGCTGCACAGGAAGGAGAAGCTGGCAGCTAAATGCAGCTGGAAGATGAGGAGCTGCAATCCCAGGGACCACACATCTGGAAAGTTTCTTTTCCTTCATAAAGGCCAAAGATAATACAACAAGCTTTCTTCTCCAGTGAAACTGGAGATGAATTTCATCAGGCGTGAGTGTTTCTCAGACACATCCCAAGGAAGGGTTGGGACAGGGATGAGGATGTCCATGGTTCCAGCATGATATCAGCCTTAGGGACACACTATTGTGTGAAGCAATTCCATGAGGCTTTGGCAGTGGGCACAAGACATCTTTCTGAGACAGTGGGAGAGCCTGTTTTGGACTACACTGTTCGGAAGATCAGCTAGAGCAGTGAGAGGTTGTGCCTCAGCTGTAGTATCTCCCTCATCTAAGTGAATTAAGGCTGTTGGTTCTGCTAGGAAAAATGATGGGTCAATTTCCCACTCTTCTTTGTGAGGCACTTTAAGAACACCATGTCTCATGCTCTTTTTCAGACTGCCTTCCTCCAGTCACAAGGCTGAGGCACTACTCTTAACACTGCATCACCAATCTGTGCTAAAATAACCTTTCAGTTCAACTCATGGTTTCATGCCAGTAGGTAGAGTTCAATCTGCTGCTGCTGGAAGGTTGTTGAGCCCTTGCAGGTACCACAAGAGAGGGTCCCACGGTAACCAAGGCTGCTCCCCCTTGAACATGGGTCTGAGGAGCTCTGTAAAGCCAATGTAGCAGCAGCCTTCACTTGTCCTACCTTGCCAAGGATGTCATCTATCCATCCGGAGCCTGAGATAGGGACTGAGGTATAAAATCATATTTGTTCTACCCACAGATGAGGAAAATGAAGAGGAAAACCAATGCAGGAATGTTCTCAGCTCATCCACTGCCAAGCGAATGCCCCAGTGGAGCTGCAGACAGGTTATCACTACCTGACAGACAAAAGAAGAAACCTCTAGGATCCTTCTTCATGTCTCTTCTGGTGTAGGTGATTGCTTGGAAGTGAAAACCTCAGGGGAAAACCTGTGTCTCCTGGTCAGAAACTGACTGTAATGGCAGAAAAATACTCAGTGAGTGTATCCCAACCCCAGACCTAGACCTGCAGCGCACAAGCTTCTTGTTCCTCCTGCAATCGTATTCACACTTTGCAGTCAAAACAGGAAAATATCAAGGGTCCAATTTTCTAAATATTGGGAAATAAAACTACTAATTATTTCAAGAGGTAAGTACCACTCCACTTGCATGCAGGTTTCAGAGCGGAATTTCTGTTTCGTGGGAGAAGAGCACCATAAACATCCTCCCACAGCTGCTCCCTGCCCCTTGCTGCTGGTGGATGCAGGGCACACAAATGATCTGCCTCAGGCTGATGAAATGGTTGAATGATGGGGGGCAGGGAAGGCTCCAGCAAGTTACATCTCTCTAGAGACAGGGAAGGAAATTACGGCACTTTTTCAGGCCTTGCCAGGCTTCTTAGTAGTGTGGTGCTACAAGTTAAGGGATCTCTGTCTGATGAGGCACGGGGACCAGGGATCAGGTATGGACTCCACAGTCACTGCCTGAGGCCCCTCCAACATTTCTCAGGTCTTTTATGAATACAGGAATGAGAACTAGAGACATGTAAATACCCAGGATACCAATCAGATCAAGGACTCCAGCAAGTTTCTGAAAGGAATATTTTGGTTCTTGTGCTGTTGAAGCAGGAGCTGGGTGACTGAGGGAGTGATGTCAAGTGGCCTTCCTGCTTCAGCAAGACATGGCTTTGCTGGGTGTACAGGACTTGGAGCTGCTGATAGCTGTGGTATCATGTCCTTCTACCCCCAAAGGGCAGAGGATTGCAGACACACCTCCTGCAGCTTCAAACTTGCTGAGGTGGGAGAAGAAACCCCGGGTTTCCACAACTCACAGAGACCACTATTGAGATTACCCAAGAGGAAATGTTGGGACAGGGCTAATAAAGCACCAGATCTGGTGAGGACTATCATCTCCTACAAGCTGTCCTTGGAACAACCATCTCTCCTTCCTCAGCTCACTGAATTACATCACTGGTGCAGCACTGAGCCAGAATTCCCCCTGGGGTGGCTGTGCAGCAGTTCCCATGCCCTCCTTCACACTTACCTCAGGAACTTGTTCAGGTCGCCGTGCTTCATGTACTCAAAGACCATGATGAGCGGGTCTCCGTCCCCACACACGCCGTAGAACTTGACGATGTGCTCGTGCTGCAGGTTGGTGAGCAGTTCTGCCTCCCGCTGGAAATCCTTGCGGGCTGCCAACGTGGGGTCTTTCAGTGCCTGAAATGAGGGACACAGACACGCACAGGGTGGGCTCGGGCAAGGGAAAAGCAGAACAAATGGGTCACAGCATCACAGAGGAGCTGGTGAGGAAGGGAGGGGAGCAGAACCACTGCCACTGGCCCCATTGTTCTGGGAGGGCTGGTGGCACCACCTAAATGTTTTGTTCATGTAGTTACTGGCCCAGTGGGTTCCCCAGCTCATTTCTTAGGCAGCAGCAAACATGCCTCAGAGGGTAATAGCTTCCAATTATTCCCAGCTTGGGCAGAATTTGTACTGGTGACCTAGGGGTGAATGGCTTCATATCTCATTATTATTAAATTTCTGAGCCAGCCAGTCCTTGCTATCTGTCTTTTATTTTGAAATAGCTGACTACACTGCCTTTATTCAGAAGATGGATTTGCCTGGCTGTGCAGTTATTGTGTGGATTTTTCAAACTGCCTCCGAAGAAGGACATTGTCAAGTTTTTTCTCATAATTTTTAAAATCATGTTTTTATTCTCTGCTGTTTATAGCAGCTCCCCAGAAGACTAATGCTGAAATTGGTATCCTTATTGAGAATATCTCATCTTCCACAATTTGAGCATGCCACTTTGCCATTGCAGGGCAGCTTGCAGGCTCCAGGTGGTGAGGATGAGCCTGACATTGCAGAGTTGCCATGAAGATGTTGCTGCGGGTGCAGCCGGTAATCAGGGAGGAATTCCCAGGACTGGAGTCTGGCTTGTCCGTGCATTATTGTGCGGTTGCACCGGTGAGTTAGCTTGAAAGCAGCTTGTTGTTATGTCAGGGTACCAAGGGAGGGAACTTGATAAAAAAGTTGAAGTCCAGACCATTTGACAAGATGGAATGGCCATGAGAATCAGCACGGTCTTTGCAAACATTTAAGGAAATGAAGAGGTAAATCTGGTTTTGAGTTGCTGTGTCTCAGTTACATCCTCCCATCCTCCACATGCCAGGACCGTTTAAAACCAATTCTGGCTTTAAGTGTGCAGCCTAACAGGAGCTGTAAAAGACTCAAGGAAACTTGTTCTAGTTGTCCTGAGTCACCCTGATGTGCACCAGTTCCCTCTCAGCGGTGAGGGACACGAGGTAGCTCTCCCCTTGCCTACGCACAAATATACCTTCTCCCTTTTCCCCATGCCTTCAATCTCCCCATACAGACGGGAGACGTGGCATGAGCAGGTGCAGGCTGCAATTTATGCTTAAAAAGAGATGTTAAGCATCAGAAAACTGTGCTTGGAGGACAGGACCCAGCACACTGTCACTGCACCTTGGCTGGCCCATGGTACTACTGGATATAGTGAGTCCTTCAGAGCAGGTACTTTTCCCCTTGGAGCAGATCTGCTGGAAGGTTTTTCCCCAAGCCTTAGGACACTACCTCATCTTCTTCTTCTGCCCCCAAACTACTAGACACATGGCGTAAATCTATTTTAATTCTTTCTCCTTTGGGATAGCTTGACTAGAGATATTTAGATGAATGTTAGTTATATGGTGCAGATGGCAAAGCATCCATCCTTATCTCAGGCACCCAATTACTTTTAGTCATTTAATATCTTCATAATGTTGATGCTACCCTATTCTTCTGCAGGGAAATAGTCCCTTCCCCCATCACTCTTTTCTCCCCCTTTTTCCTGTGGTTGCACATAGTATTTCAAGCTGCAGTGAGCTTAGGTTTCCTCCCCTTCACACACAATCATTTCTAGAAGGTGTTAGGACTGTAAGTTTGTAAATATGACACATCAAAAAAAAGTTATTAAACCCCCCCACATTACTAAAGTTACACAGTCAAACATTTAGAAATGAGGAAAACAGGGATAGAACAGGGAAAGAAGACCAGAACCAGAGGAAGAGAAGGGATGTCTCAGTAAAATCACTGAACGACTCTCTCAGGAAGATTTGGGGTGGATTTTTTTGTGCCTCCATCACACGATTCTTCCATAATTTCTGGCAAGTCCCTGAGCATCTGCAAGGTTGCATCTGTTGTCACGAAGCGACAGTTGTTTCAATATTACCTGGAAAATCCCCTCTTATGTGGCATCATGGCCAGGTCTCCACAAGCACTGTATGTTTATTGCTGCAGCAGGGCTCACTCTGAGTCTGGTACCTGCTGTCCAGGGGCTGGAAAGGGAGGTCAGTAACTCCATTTTCCACCTAAGTGGATCCCTTCAGCTCAGTTTTCCTGCTTCTCCATCCGCCCTTCATCCCTTGCAAAATGGTGATGATACAACCCCAGCAACTTGCTGGGAAGCTGTGAAAACAGGCACACTCACATCTAGGGAGTTCTCTGCACAGGAGTGATCACCACAACGGAGCAGCTCACAGAGAAATGAAAAATACGTGTTTGAAGGACATGACCTGAATACAGCCCCTCCAGCATCTCTAGTACTTGACTTTGTCACCTCAACACTCTTTGCTGGATATAGTTTTTGTGCATTTCTTAGCATGCTTTTAGAGGCAAGCTGAATAAAACAGGGAGCTTGTCCATGTCATCACATCAAAACTCAGCTTATCTGCGGGGCTGCGACCTCTAGATTTGCTGAAAATCTGAGTCCATTTAACTGAGTGAGTAACACAGCCACTTTATTTGGCCCTGGGAGAGAGTCCCTGAGAGCAGGGCAGAGGCAGGCTCTGGGCTGTGGACTCAGCTGCCCTTAACCAGCATATCCTGCTGCTGCTCTGAGCTGCAGTGACTGGGGAGGTAGTTCTCAGCCTCTATCAGGAGCATGGGATCTTCAGGAAATGCAGCCAAATCTCAACTTAATATGTAAAACCTTTCTTTTTTTTTTTTTTTTTTTTTTTTTACCTCAGACTTATAATGTGGCCCAAATTAGAGGGATTCTTTTTCCCTGCCACTCCCAGAGCTGGCAAGAAGCCAGATTCCAAGGCCGTGCTCCATACAGCTGGAACTGTATGATCTTGCAGGATGAAAGGCATTTTGGAGATGTAAGCTCATAGTAGCAATTAACAGAAACAAGTTCAGATGCTGTTTCTGCCTACATGCAAATGAAACTCAGAAGAGACTCAAGAGCCAGGCTTGCTAAGGCATGGCTGACACTGATAGGCAGGTACCAGCCCTGTAATCAAGCAATTAATCATATGGGTGTCTTCGCTGCCTCAGCTTTAACCAGTCTCAGAGGTGAAAGGTTCAGTCTTGCACTTCACTGCTGGAGCAAAAGGGGACATACGAGCTTACAAATAAAAAAAGGCTTGAGCTGCCAATGATTAGAACAACTCTCAAGTAACTGGTTGCCTCCAGCATGCTGGAGAGAGTGCTGGAACCTTCCCCCCTGTAGAGCATCGGTTCTAATGCAGAACTTGTTCCAAGGAGTTAGGAGGCATTGGTTAAATCCAAGGGATTAGACTGTATGTGTCTGCCAACTGGTGCCACTTGAGAGGAGAGCGCAGTTCTGCACTGAGTGGTCTCCCCTGCCCAGAGCCACGCTGATGGGACACAGCTCACACAGGGACTATCACAAGGATGCAAGCAACACAGCACAAGCCAAGCTGAACCTGTGTTGGCTCAAAATAAGAAAAACAGGAGCAACCTGTGGCTAGGCAAGCAGGAGTTGAGTGGAGCTGAGCCGAGCTGCTTTGCCCATCTTGCGGCAAATTGATCCCAGAAAATTGGTTCATCGTGCTTAGCTTTTAAGTACTTATTTTTGCTGAGTCCTTTTTTTGTTTCAGCTTCTGCATGTTACACAAAAAGATAAAATCCAGAAGGAGCAGGGCCCCAGTGTCTCACAGAGGGAGGTGGATCCACACTGGGCTGGCTGCTTCAGCTGCACGGGAGCTCACGGCTTCCAGACCAGCTTCTCCTCCCTGTCTGTCTCCTGGCTGCGCCAGCAGGAAGGGAGGTTTTGGCATTGGTGAGAACAGACAACCTTGAAGCGAAACACTGAAACTTTGTGTGACTAAGTGGATTTACCACAATCTCCAGCATCAAATAAATCTCCACCCATGGCCCCCAGCCCTCCCCTGCTTCCCTTTCCCATGCAGGCTCATCCAGTCTCGCTTTGCCAGCCAGCCCCTGCCATTCACCCTTGGGATTTACCTTCACTGCCACCAGCATTTTGTCGTTGGTGGGGCTGAGGTTGTAACACTCGGCCAAGAACACCTTCCCAAAGGCACCTTCTCCCAGCTCCCTCTTCAAAACGATGTCTCTCCTCTTAATATGCTGGACATCTGTTGGAGGGAGGGGAGGAAGAGGGAGAGGGTTGAGGGAAGAATGAATCAGGGTTAATTCAGGGAATGGAAAACAACTAATTCAATTTTCTTGCAAGCTGCAAGGGATCTGAAATTGCTTTGCAAAAACATCTACAGGGATCTTTTTACCCACCCACAGAACGCAGCCATCTCTGGGATGGAGCTAGTCTCACGAAAAACATCTGCGAGGAAAGTACTTGAAGTTTATCATGTTCTCATGACAAGCTCGTGGCAAGCTTCTCCACAGGGAGAGGAACCTTTGGGGCAAGTTCTGCTATAAAGACCTGAATCTCTTTGGAATGATCCTGGAAATAATCCTTCTCCTGTGAGGCGTAGCAAAGGTCACATACTTCTGATGCCAGGCCAGGCAAGATTAGAAGATCCTGTTGAGTTTTGCATTTCAAATGGGATTAGTTTAAATTCAAACACAGCAGATTTTTGGGGTTCAACTTTGGCAAGTCAAATCATTCCCAAGAGGAGGAGGACCACTGACCCCCATGCATGTTAGGGCATGAGCAGGAGCCGGCTGGAAGCACAGAGTACTGTCCTGCAGTAGGACCCTGACCCCGCAGCCTTCTACTCGACTGTTACCTCAGAAAGGTCATCCCAGGATACAGTCACTGGCACAACAGACAAACTGAATCCATTAGTTTCAATGATCCTTTCCACTGACATTTAGGATGGCAAGGACTGACAGAGAATAGCAACCCAGGTTTCAGGAAGAATCAGAAGAGCAGTAGCTATTAATTTACCAAAGGTACAGAGGCCAAAGAAAATTGGTCTGCTCGGCTAACAGGTCATTCCTAAGGGCTGGGTCTACCCAGGGATCAGGCACCTACAAGGGTGGGTAAGTGACTGTGGGATATCCACTAATGCTTTGGCATGATTAAATGCCACTGGTTGCTGGGAGAAGTTGTGGGTTTCCATATTCTCTTCTGGGAACAATACTAGGGCACAGCTACTTGCTACCAAACCTCCAAGTACTTTTCTGATATCACAGCACCCCTGCAGCTCCTCAGCAATACAAAGAGGCTTTCTAATGCCCATAATAAGCTGTAGAAGCAGCTACAGATGCACAGCCACCATAGCATTTTCTGGAGGCACAGTACCCAGAACTTCATCTCTCTAAACTGTCCTTCAGTGAGGCTTACTGCCTCCCTTGAGAACTCTGGCACCACAGACCACCCCCAGCTTCAGCCTGAAGGTCATGGCAGGGCAGTGGAGAGCTGTACACTTTTCTCCATTGCCTGGTGAGCAAAAGCTGATGCATGACAGGTCTCCCCAAGCAGAGGCATTAAGTGGGTCAGTGCCCTCTTTCCACTCCTACCCTGAAGCGTCCATAACCCTGAATATGTTTGCTCACAAACTGGACCACTTTTGAGTCTTTTCCATCTCTTCCATCTGGCACAGGTACACACCCCTTGGCTCAGGTGCATTTTCCGTGGGACACTGCAGATCCAGGAGGTGGAGGTGACTAACTCCAGGTTTCAAACTGGCTGCAGGGACATGTCACTAACAGAGATCACAATCTGCCACCAGCTCCTGCCACCCACGTGTCCGAACAGGTACCTGTATCGACCCAGGGGGGCATGTGCCCCACAACAACATAGGTAACACAATGCATCAAAACTCCAAGGGATTAGAAGACAAGCATCCTAATGGATTTTGTACAATTAAGCTTTTTAATTAGGAGCTCAGAGGCAGGTTTAAGGAGCTGCCATCTCTGGGCCTTTGGCTTGTTTGGGAAGATGGATGCCGTGAGATTGCATAAGCAATGGGCCTTGTAATGAAAGATGCCTCTCTGGGGAATTCTCATTGACCTTTTTGTTAATTGTTCCGCAGACTGAAAAGTGTTACTTACCAATATTAATAACATTTGTAACATTAAGGCACAGGGTGGTAGGCACATCTAAAATTATTCTGGTATTAAACCTGCAGTGACAGCCAGGGAGAACAAATCACATGTGGACTTTGCCTCCTCCACCTGGTTTAGCTGAGTGTTTAAGGAGTACCTTGAGAAATCTGAGATATTATGTGTTGAAATGTTAAGTGATGCACTTGGGTGAGGAAAGTCCTAATCTAAGAAAAGCTCAAATGGTACCAATTTACTTTATAGAGTAGAGAGAAAGGATTTTTTCCTCTTTCTCTTGGCAAGCATTTCTATAACACTCATCACTACAGTACCTTGGACTTACTGTATTGACAAACCACATATTTGCATTGTTGGTCTCCTGAATAGCAGCAGTCAAGAAAGCTGCAGGGGAATGATCTGATACTAAGAGGAGCCCAAGGACACTTTAAAAAACTCAGAAATGTAGCAATTGCAATCCGATTGCCCTGTTTGGTGTGAGATAAAGTTAAAAAGGAAACTGTCTCAGAATAACCAGCAATACTATTTGAGAATGTTTATACTTCTTGTGAGTGACACCATGAGAACTGAAGCAAACTTCTCTTTCTGAACTCTCCAGAGTCTTGCCCAAAATGTTCAGCTCCCAATTTTTCCTCCCAACAACATCTTAATAAATGACCAGACATTTCTGAGAGCTGGCATCCAAACTGTGTAATTATGTCTACATTATTAAAATAATATCCCATCTGTGTTCAAGACCAGATTTTGCAGCAAGTTGTTAAAGTCACCTGAGAAGCTTCAGGGAAAATTTATATGAAGAATTAAAGATGCTATTGCAGCAGGCAGAGTTGAACTGAGAGAGGAGCAATACTTTTGCAGTGGTGGATGCATGTAGCACTGCTGGATTTAAAATAAACTTGGGTGGTTATAAAAATAAAAGGGTCATGAAGTTAAGTAGTTTGACAGCAACTGGACAATCTTAATGCAGAATCAGAAAAGTACTTTTGCTGATCACAATTTCTCTCAACCTCAATTGGCCATAAATTTTGCTTCACAGCATTTTAGACACAAATGGAATAATAAGTGAGTTATAATAAATTGCTTTTTCACATGCTATAGGACTAAAATAGTGAATTTTACACCAAATTCTTCCATTCACAGAGAGATCAGCACTATGATTGATTCTAAATTACTATTAAAGATGGGCTTTGGCCATAAAGCAGTGACAAACCACCCCGGCACAGTGCAGATGGCTGTTATTGTGCTAACCCTGCACCTCTGTGCTCGTCTGTCCTGGCTGTAACTCATAAGGAAGGCAGAGTAGCCATGAAGGATGCTCTGCTGCAAGGGCACCTCAGAGGTTCATCTGCATAAATCTGTTTACCTCCTCCTGGAGAAAGCTGAGCCCTGTCTGATAAACAGCTGGTGTTTATTTGTTTTAGGCAGGCAGTGGTGTGCTAATCTGTCTTGGCTGTGTTGCAGTCAGCCCTGTAGACAAGGTGTATGCAAACTGCCTTCCCCTAAGTACCACTCGTTTGGTTTTTTTTCTCCCCTTGTACCATTAACTTATAAAAACAAGCCAACAAGACAATTCAAAAAAAGAACCTTTGCAGGAGCCACAGGAAGACCTGACAGGAAAATAAGCAGACTTGACAGCATGATGGGAACTCATTCAAAGCCGTGCTGTATCTGCAGGAAGGATGTGAGCACACAACACCGAAATAATTCCAGTTTAAAATGAAACATCTTTTAGTCCTTGTTTTGGGATTACTATGTTGCTGCATGACACAGACGGAAAGTTGGGTAGATTTTCCACCTTCCTTCTTGTCCATCAAGATTTAACACGTGGAGGAAGTGCTTCAAACTCTTGTTGTGAATAGCCCACTAACCACACCAGAAAGCACCCAACCTGCAGCTGGTTGGAAATGGCCTGTGACTTCAGTTCAGTGACAGCAGCAGGAGGGTAAGTTAACAAGAACAAGTCTGGGACACTGCACCCACCTTTACAAATAGCCTCCAAAGCAGAAAGCTTTCCCTTTCACTGGAAGAGCTGAGGCAGAAGGGTGGCAGCTGCAGATCTGCAAAGGGATCTTACCTAACCGCCTCTGAACATTTTTGCAGGACAGCTGACTTGATCTCTGCTTAAAGTGAATTTAATCAGAAAAGTGGCTGTCTAAAACCAGAAACTTCTTCCTCCCCATCATTGCACCCATGTGTCCTCAGTCATGTCTGTTCGTCTCCTTGACAAAAACACATTCTAGTTTGCTAAACTTGCAAACCCAGCACATCCATGAGATACAGCGGAAGAAGAAGAGGGAACAAGGTTAATTCTGCTTTTCTTACACATCAATCTACCATTTTCTGATGGGTCACTTCTGCACTGGCCCTTGTGATTCTGGAAAAGCAAGGACTTTTCTACTTGTATCACTGATTCAATGACTCTTCTCCCATCTTTTATGCTCATATTGCAGAGTCTCTCTAACTTATGGCAAGGTCAAGGCACAAAGACCCCGACCCAACCTCCAAATCCCAGGTAGAGCATATGGAGCTGGTAACAGACTGTGCAATGAAAACAACTTGTTTTGAATAACCACCAGATTTCAATCACATGAGCGGATATTGGGACGTTGCATTGGTACATTTCATGAATCTAATTTTCCAATTACTGTCTCATTTCTAAATCAGTCTTGGACATCATATAAAGAAGAGATGGGTTCAGTGACACTGCAAATTCTGCATTTCAGATTCCCATCACAGCCAGAATACTTAAAACCATGGTTTGATAATACAGTTGAAACCTGGATGCACAATTGTGTTTGGACACAGATGACTACAGTGTGAGGTAAATGGACAAATCAAACTCCAAGCAGAGTAAACCATGAGCAGTGCCAGTACTTAAGTTACAGTGAAATGCAAAACTACTAATGCTGGATCATTTACACCAGGTCAATTTCAATTGTTAGATTAATTAATTTCAATTATTTCCTCACATCTCCTTCTTTCAAACTCCCAGTCAGCAAGCAGTCTGTCTCATTGTTGTCTTTTTAGTGAGTTTCTTGATCTTGGACTATTAATTCACAAACAACATGTGGCTTGCTGGCTGAACAGAAAAAAGTTACAGAAATTTCTC